GAGGATCAGCGGGTCTGGCAGCGTGACCTTAAGTTCTTCAGCTCGCTGCAACCATCGGCGCCATTGCCGCATAGTGGCCAGGAGCTCCGTGACGGAGTGACCCACCTTCACTTCGGTGAGGCTTTTGAGAAGCGTTGTGCGTTCAGCTCCTCCTCCAGGTTGAAACACTACAAACAACTTGAACAGGATGCTCACAGTTGTGACGTGGCGAGAGGAGATGACATCTCTTCTCAGTTGTTCGGGCAGGATGCCCAGCAGCAATGACACTCCCCGCTGCTCCACTCTCTGGTACAAGGGGTCCACAGTGACATCTTTTGGCCGCAGGCGCAACCTCTCCAAGGGCGTGGCCACCAGCCACTGTTCATATAGTTCACGAGCGGCAGAAAGGCATCCATCCCACCAAAATTGTGAGGTAGAGGACAAGTCCGCCATCAACGGATAGGCCACAGTCAGCCAATCCCCAAACTGCAATGCCGCGCCTTCGGATGAAGGTAGTGGAAGGGCAGGAAGATCCAAAGCCCTGACAGTCTCTGGAACGACCGGAGCCAGCGGAGTTCGAGCATCCCCATGAGGTTAACCACCATGAAGGCCTGGGGGAGGATCTGGTCCTGACCCGGGAGGTCCACCTGCACCTGAGGGATCACCATGTGGTAGTCCAGGATGTGTTGTAGTTCCACGACCATCAACTCCACCACTGGCAACGGAGGCATACGACGATGCATCACCACCACCTGCTCCATCAGTTATGCGTTTGACTTCACGAGCGAACTTTTCCTCCGCCTCTTTGAGGATCTGGGTACGAAGTTTCTCAACATCCCCAGGTCCTGGACTTCCGTTGGTAGCCCGAGCACCTGCACTTTCCGCCATTCTCACATGACCTTCACCTCGTGCAGCTTGTTGAATTGAAGTGGTCCAGAAGGGGTTCACAGTGGCAAGGGGGCCCTGTGGTGTGCGATATGGTTCAAGCACCCTGGGTTTCACCTCCTCCCGCTCTACCTGCCTTGTACTTGCAGGCGTGCCCACTCGTGGATCACCATGTGGAGCTCCAGGTTGATGTGGAGTTCCAGCCAAAGAACCTTGCCCAGCAAAGAGTCCGCCACCTGGTGGATGAGGTAGTCCCGAACCAGGTCCTTGAGGTAGTTCAGAACCTCGAAGAAGGGGGTCAAGAAGTCCCGGAGCAGGAGATGGTGGCATGTGGTGGCCCAAAGCCTGTTGCAACAACTCGAACGACTGGCGTGCTGCATCTTGCAATCCGCCCAGTCCCAAGGCATTGGCCCGGGGATCATGCAGTGCACTCATGATGCCCCCAGCTAGGGCAGACTGCCCAGTGGTTCCATCGTGATGCCCGCCATGATGTCCAGGTTGTTGTGCCCCACTTCCTTCTCTTCGCCCTCTCTGAGAATCTGCTGCCCCATCAGCGGCAGGATGCATAGCCAAGCGCCGAACAGCCAGATCATCTTCCGCAGGCAATGACGAAGCCCTTGCTGCTCGTTGCTCTCGGAGCAGGCGGTCAAGCTTCTGATCTGCTGTCTCCTCTGGTAGTCGTCGTCGATCTTCTCGATGTGCACGTCGAGCGTCTTGACCTTCTGGTGGGTCGGCCCTTTCGCGAGAGCCTTGCCTTCTTCGTCTCTGCAGCGCTGCCATGGCGGCCAACAACCACACCTCTCACACAGAGGCTGTGGGTGGACTTGAAAAGCTAGGCCTTTGGGCTCATAACCTAAGGAGGTTGGGGTGTGCAAAGCAAGCGGTCTTTTCCACCTGCTCAGCTTGAGCCAAACCATTTGGTTGGCGAAGTTCATCAACAGCTCGAATCGAAGTGCTCGATCGAAAGCGAAAATGCTCATGAGGTGCATGGACTGTCTGCCACAGAAACAAAGCAAACAAAATTGCTCTCTTAAGAGGGGTCCTGCTGCAGTTGCCTCACCCAAACAGCTTTGGTCTGGGTTTCAAAGGCTTGGTCTAGACCTTAGGAGTGAAGAATCTATAAAAACCAAAGGGAGACAAGGCCTTGAATCATTTACTTTGCATCATGTGTTTTTTGTTTGCGCATGTTGGTAGTGTCAAAGAAAAAGGTACGTTTACATTCAACTTGATCTAATTCAAATGCTGTATCCGGGTAATCCATGAGTGAAAGCTCTGAAATCTCCAAAAAAACAATCAGTATAGTAAAACTGGCAATCGTACATGACGGCATGTTTGCCAAGAAACGTGGCTTGCCAGGTGGGTTGATGTGCGAAATCTTCTGGATGCAGCGGATTCGATCATTGTCCAACGCACGTGCTACAAGGTCGCACTCGACATAGTACTCCACCAAATCTGTACCCTCAGCGGCACCTCTCATGAAAGTGATTTCCGAACAAAATAAGGGAATGATTCTACACACTCGTTTGGAATTCTTCGAAGCGAGCATAAAAAACATAGACGTAGTTGAAAACATGCGAAACGCTTGATCTGCTCGGTTGTTTTGGGCCCCAGGCCTCGGTACAGAACGTGGTAGCCAGTATGCGCAATGTTTGGCATCAAACCGATGATCTCCACACCATCAGCTCTTGTCTCATTGACTCGTTTACGCGCAACATTTGTACTTCCGATTGTGAGTAGTGCCTTGTGGTCAGCCTTGAAATAGTTTGTCAGGTTTTCATTGTCGAATCGATTGCGATGCTCAATGTGGCTTTCCTTGCCACGATTTGCCATGATGCATTCCAAGCTGAAAGCCATCTGGTTAATCTGCACCAGTACATCAACTTTGCCATTGCGGGCGGTCAAAGGTGCAGAAGCCTGATACCCCAATCTCTGCAGAGCATGTAGGATGGCAGCATTGTATTGCTCTTCATACGGCAAGTCTGACCCTGACAGCGAGGAATTTGATTCAAGGTCTGCGGCAAAGGAGACCACCTGTGCAAAAGTCAGATATGGAATTGCGCGAAGCAACAGATCCAAACAATTGACTGGCACAAACGGTTCAACATGCACTTTCAATCCACGAAAGTTCTGTAATTGATGCCTGTAGTAGGAAGCCAGAATTGGATTGGCAACAGCATACGTGGCACCTGGTCTTGTCCAATCTACTCGCTGGAACTCATCATTACCTTCCGAGAACGGGATGACAAATCCCTGGATGGTCAACTCATGCCGTATCTCCTTAGAAAGACTACCTGGGCCTTCACAGAGACGTTGTATGAATTCTTTTGGCACTACGTCAATCCAATTCACCTTCACTCCTCGTGATTCAGCAAGTGCACCCAAGATCGTGCCAGTTGCCCAACTTCCATCGCCTATGCTGGCTCGAACTTTTGCGACTGTTTCTCTATATGCCCAATGACTTGTCTCATCTTGCATCTTTTTGACCCAGTTCATCGCGGCAACAAAAATTGATCTATGCCCGGCGCAAAATTTGAGGAAGAAAGCCACGCTTCTTGCATCTAGGTGTACGCCTGCCTCATTCAACTGTTTGACAAGTTCATCAAGAGCATCCTCCGTTTCAGGGACAGGAGGAGTCCAAAAGAACTTCTGTCTGATCTCGGTAGCTGCGACCTCGCTGCTCATCTTTGCCTCGTCGCCTGATGCTGATAACAAGAGCAGCTTGGGGTGTCTTGTACTCTGAAAGAGAGATTCGCAAAGTAGTGGTAACGAAAATATTGTATGCGCTTCATCCAACACCAAAATGAGATCATCGTTAATTGCTAACTCGAGAGCAGTTCGCAAGCAAAGAAGAGGCGATGTCTCTCGCAGTTTCGCAGTTCCTGTGGCACTACGAATTGCATTATTGATGTCTGCAATCCATGTCTCTTCTGCAGCACAGGTGAAGGGAACGCGAACAAACCTTTTTGGGAACTGCCGGGCCAAATCAGCCCCCATGGTGCTTTTGCCCACGGCAACACCTCCACGAACAAACACAAAATCCTCTCCGTCAAACAAATCCTCTATCTTCTGTCCATAACCTTCCAAGGGAACGAACACGTGTTCTTCAGGATTTGCGGGACTTGTCAAGGGAGGCAACTGCCGTTTCTTGGATTCAGCTGCCAACCGTGTTTGCGCAGACTGCCTTGCTCTGGTAGCTTCTCTGCCTAAGCCTGTTACTGCTAGAGCTGGATGCGAGCCATTGATGGGCAGGTGCAAGAAGCACAGCACGACAGTGGCAACAATCAACACTTTGAAGCGACTTGATGGACCAAGTCGTTGACGAACCATGGCGTAAGAAAGGAATGTTCTTAATTTTCCTTGATTTTTTAGGTTAGTAAGAATCAAACGGTTGACGCTGAATGTCTTGCATCAGCTTGGACACGGAGGTTGAGTGTACATCCTATTCTCGACCAGAATCCTGTCCGAACCAGAGTGCTTCACAATTAAATTGCCATTCCAATCTGAATCAACCCAGATTCAAAGGGCAAGAGCAAAGCGCCAACTGTGGGGTGTAAGACAATGGAAGCATGCAAATACGCAGGAAATAGCAGTGATGACAATCAAACCTACAGCCTCCTTTTGAATGAAGCTACTTTCATTCTGCGACAGCTCAGCTGCTCGTCATGGACCTCGACTCATCGTTTCCAAACCGAAGAAAGTGAAAGAAAAGTTATTTGTATAAGCATTTGCACTGTCTATAGTCCATGTGCCATCCGACAAAACAAGGCAACACTTTGTGACCATTCAACTCCAGAACGGTCAAACTACAGCAGGTTGCTGAGAAAGCTGAGAAAAGCACCTCCTATGTTGATGGTATCGTGAAACCATAACAGTCTGTCCTCAAAGCTGAGCAAGACCGGAGGTGGCAAAAACAAAGACTCAGCAAGCAAGTATGGTTCAACTTGCTGAAAACAAAACACCAAGTGCCGGGCTTGGACGTGCCACGATTCACTGATGCTTCTTCGTCTTCCTTAATCCACTTTCCATCCTGCCGTGAGCAAACTGGCAAACCACAATCTGCAGCAAAGACACTGTGCTGACAGGGTTGTGAAACAGCAAAACTCTCCTTGAGGCTGTAGATGTTGAGTTCATCTGCATCACACAAGACCTTGGCGTCTTCTTGGTTCTGAACAAGCTGCCTTTAACACAAAGCAAGTGGGAGAAGTAATGAAACACCACCCTACCTTTATTGACATGGCCCGACTCATAAACTGCTAGCGCAAGAAACATTCAATGTGGCCGCCCATGTGGGGGCACCTTTGCGCCTGACGCTGCCTCCGTTTATTGACGCCGTGTTGGGAACTCGTTGGCGCCGCATTCCCTGACGCTCCTTTCCCCACTGACACCGCATACCCCCCTGACGCCGCCTAGCTGACGTCGCATACCTCCCTGACGCCGCCTATTGACGCCGCATTCCTTGACGCCGCGTTCCTGTCTGACGCCGCATACCTCCCTGACGCCGCCTATTGACGCCGCATTCCTTGACGCCGCGTTCCTGTCTGACGCCGCATACCTCCCTGACGCCG